TATATATATATATATAAGTGGGCTAGACAGGATAAGACGAGACAGGATGCGGGCACAGGGTGTCAGTATTAACGCTTCATTCACTCTAGTTATCATCTGGATACGAATAAGACATGAATTGACAGTAGACTTTACATCTAACATCTTGACATTCTTCATCGTCGACAATTGTCGTGGCCCTAAGAGGCAAATATTGCCGAACTATATTGTGCACATATATCATGAAAATACTGTATACATATATCTGCATTTGGGGACTGCGGCACTGCTCATCTTTAAACACCTTACGTATCCGAACGATTCTTAAAGGGGCTTCAGGCGAGGCTGTCATGCCTCTCGCCCCGTGTTACGTAGTGCTTTGATGGCCCGACTTTGGTGGCCTGATCGGCCTCCTGACCATGAACGGGCAGCAGTCCTCCAAGCGGAGACCGTTGTGAACTGCTGACGCTGAGCGCTGGTGCTGGCGGCTCCGGCAGTGTATCATCGACAGTCCAGTCAGTCCGGTGACCTCTGCACTGCCGCTGGGCTTTGTCGTGTGCGTCACCATGCTCAAGCAGGGGTACGAGGACTGGCTGCGGCACAAGATGGACGAGGAGGTCAACAACAAGCCGGCCGTCGTCGTCCGCCACGGCAGGCTGCAGGTGAGAATACCGGACCGGTACTGACGGGACAGGTGTGGTCTGAGCACCCGGATCCGGTGCGGACCAGACAGGTGTAGTCTGAGCGCACAAACCCGGCACCAATCAGGCAGGCGTGGTTTGAGCGCACAAACCCGGCACCAATTAAACAGGCGTGGTCGGAGCGCACAAACCCGGTTCTGATCAGACAAGTGTGTTTTGAGCAGGTAAACCCGGTACTGACCAGACAGGTGTAGTCTTTGCACAAACCCGGCACCAATCAGACAGGAGTGGTCTGAGCGCACAAATCCGGTACTGATCGGACAGGTGTGGTCTGAGCGCACAAATCCGGTACTGATCAGACAGGTGCGGTCTGAGCATACAAATCCGGTACTAATCAGACAGGTGTGGTCTGAACATACAGATCCGGTACTGATCAGACAGGTGTGGTCTGAACATACAGATCCGGTACTGATCAGACAGGTGTGGTCTGAACATACAGATCCGGTACTGATCAGACAGGTGTGGCCTGAACATACAGATCCGGTACTCATCAGACAGGTGTGGTCTGAACGTACAGATCCGGTACTGATCAGACAGGTGTGGTCTGAACATACAGATCCGGTACTGATCAGACGGGTGTGGTCTGAGCATACAAATCCGGTACTGATCAGACAGGTGTGGTCTGAGCATACAAACCCGTTGCTGGGCAGGCTAGTTCGGTGCTGGGCAGGCAGGTTCGGTCCTGGATCAGCTGGCCCGGTGCTGAGCAGGCAGCTTCGGTTCTGAATAGGTTAGTTCGGTACTGGACAGGCTAGTTCGGTACTGGACCAACTGGCCCGGTGCTGGGCAGGCAGGTTCGGCGCTGAGCAGGCAGGTTCGGTGCTGAGCAGGCAGGTTCGGTACTAGGCAGGCGCGTTCAGTGCATACCAAAACAGACCTGACACCAAACCGACCGCTGCTGACATGGCCGCTGCTCAGGTTTAAGCGTAGCAATTCGGCGATGCTGTCTGCTGGTAGTGGTGAACTTTGGGCCTGACGCTGCTGTCTACTGGTAACTTCGATAACCTCGGTAACTTACTGGAAACTTACTGGTAACTTCTATAACTTTGGTGTCTCAGGGGCTTTAGCTGTGCTCGAGGAAGCGAAGGAGAGGGAGTCAAACTGTTCGTTTGGGAGGTCAAATGAAAACAACAGGACTGTTCCTAACATATGGAGAGGAGCTTTCCCTGTTGGTGACGTCACCGACTGCCTGGGAGCAGAATATATAGTATACCATATACATATATGGTATGCTATTAACATTATAACATGCTATATACATATACAGTATACTATATTTTATGCACGGGAGTACAATGCTGTTGCTGGGCAGCCACGGAGTGGGCCAGCCCAGCAGCCCGAACCAACCGTTTTTTATGGCTTCTCACTAGCACTAGTGAATCACCACACAAGATGCAATGCGTAATTGCGAGATGCGAGAAGGATTAGATGCAATGATTAGGGCACGACTATTTGCAACGCAATGCGATTCAGTGTACGTCAAGCACTACCTATAGGTGTGATGCCCCGCACGTGCCAAGGGAGTGGCAAACTGATGCATAGCTGCCATGATTAATAAGGTGTTGGTGGGCCGCTTACTTTATATAAACTGCGATATTATACGTTTGGATCAGAAAGATGCTGCTGTGAAAGTCTAATCATGAAGACAGTGATGCAGGCGTAGTGTCAGATGAGAGTAAAAGCTGATAAAAATGACAAGAACTCCAAGCTAGACTATGCATAGCAGTACTATTACAAATGAAAATGAAATAATCCAGGAGGATTAAGCCGCCACTCCAGCCGCTACCTTTTGTTTGCAACTGTAAAAAGCGATTTCACAATATAATCTTACATTGGACAGCTGACACTTATTTGGCTGCTTGCGCCCCGGATGAAACCGCAATTCCGTCTGCCGTTTCAGGAGGTGAAAACGAAAAACATCATCGTGGGGGACATCGTGCACGTGCGCGCCGACGAGGACTTCCCATGTGACCTGGTGATGTTGACGTCCTCTGACCGCGAGGGTCACTGTCACATCCAGACGGCCAACCTGGACGGCGAGACCAACCTCAAGGTAGGCCACTGTCCGAAACGCACGGCTCCGAGCCCGATGTTTGTTGGGCTATGGTAAACAGATGGGTAGCAATACATTCTTTCCAAGCGGTGCAGCTCGTCCCATTCCCACTGCAGTAAATTTGTGAAATTGGCGCGTGGTTGAGGATCAAAAAAGGAAATGAACCTAAAGCTTATCACCTAGATGTTTGGCGAAGTCTGCCCATCAATCGCTGTAAGCATGTCACGTTTATATATATATATATATATATATATATATATATATATATATATATAACTGTGACAGGACCAGAATTGATCTCCTTCGTTTTTTAAATACATTAGTTACAAAGTGATCGCACCGCAGTCTTCGCGATTTGTGTGTGCTTGACTTTGCTTGGTGCAAGGTGAATTGCACAGCTAGCACGTGATAGCGTTAAATGCAGTAAAGCAATTTGTGAAATACCTCCCCAGTTGATGGAGACGCAGAGTTGGTGCTATCAAGACCCAGGCAGTTGGGCTTGAATTGCTTGCTGGGTTGTCCTTCTATCCTGGACCTGTTTGCGCCTATCTTAAATAAAATGGCAAGCAAATTTGTATTCAGGCTATCTTAAAAGAAGAAAAGAATGTGCATGCTTATCATTCATTGATAATGCACGATGCCATGATCACCATACCAAGTGTTTCAAAACTTACACCAATAACAGATGCATTCGGAATGAGACTGGACAGGAGATTCGGAACTTATAGTTCTGCAGCGAGATAATTAAAATACAGGGTCAGCTCTAGTTTCGGCAATCATATGTACTTCGATTTCGAATAAACTCTGTTCGCTTTGATTTGTTTTCGGGGTTGTTTTCATCCAAACGAAATCCAGCACAATTCTAGCCGCATTCACAAAATATCCCTCATGGAGTTTGCTGCACTTTCGATTCGGAGAGGCCCGCGGCCATGAACAACTTCCACTGGCGCTTCAGAAAACTGCGGCTAGAGTCTTGTCCCGAATGACAGGTAAGCACCGTGCTGTTGGTATTTTTAGGTCATTTTTTTCATGATCCGCATGGTGCATTTCATCCGGTTGCGTGATGTTCCCCAAATACCGAAACTCGTTTTGGAGGGGGATGAACGAAAAATTGTGTGCATGCTGCAGACTTCTATCGTTGACCCGGCGTGCTCTCGATGCAACCACACCCAAGATATTCAAACATTTTTCGTTTAGCCATTTATGTAGCCTTGCATTAGTTTTGCTGCTTGGTGGCTTGGTAACGTATGCTACCATATCTGTGATCACGATGCATCCTATTGAAACGCAAGTGGTCTCGCAAAAAAGGAGCAGTTCCAACTCGGTAGGGACACTGGATGCAGTTTGTTGGCAAATTATCGCCAAAGGCTAATGCTAATTAACAGGTGAATCCAAGACATAAATGTACGCTCATTATGAATGTAACAAATATATGAACTAGATCACTCATGAAGATCACTTATATGTCACTCATAAGTCATAGTTCCGTCAGCCATGAAGGAATGTAAAAAAACAACAACAAGAAGATGTATTGAACGTCCCGCAACAACGCAATTACATCGCTGGTAATTTTGATATGCGCCATGGTTCCGACGAATATTTTTAAATACATTTTCAACGGGAAACTATTAAATCGAATCAACAGGCCGACTGCATGCTAAAATCAGCCCATTGATTTTGTATAAGCGATCAAATATGACAGAGTTGTGTTTCGGGCCCTTCACCATATACTTGGTCACAAACATCAAGTTTTAGACCTTAAGTAAATGCGACCATTACCACTCGTCTTAGGGCAGCGCACAAGGTGCATCAACCAGCTGCATTGCAGAAGGACTCAGCCTGGAAAAAGAGCAAAATGACGGACAGCACCATCTTACAGCTGCTGGGAGTGACCGCGGATGGGGGCCTGTCGCCGTTTCAGACCAAGGAATCGCCGACGCAGACTCGGCACATGCGCTCCCTCTCCGACCTGGACACGGTGCGTGCCATCATCGAGTGCGAGAACCCCAAGCCGGACCTGTACAAATTCGTGGGCAACATGACCTTCCACAACGCGGCCAGCGGCGTCCGCGATGAGGTGCCGCTGGGGCCGGAGCACGTGCTGCTGCGGGGCTCGCGGCTGAAGAACACCGACCACATCTACGGTCAGTGGCAGGCGAGCGGCCTTCGGTGCGCGACGGGCTCGAAGGGGGGGGGGGGGGTCGACCGGTTAGGGATGCGGCGCGCCGGCCGCGGCGGTTTCACCACGCGATGTTCTGGGGCCTCGCGTTCGGATGCTGCCGGAAGGTTGTGCAAAGGTCGGGATGACTCTTCTTTCAGGGATGCAGCCGGTATTTTCCAGGAAGCTAGAATCGCTTTTGATCTCGGGTGGGAGTGAAAAATTTCATTGCAAAAAGACCATGAGGGAGTGAAAAAATCAATTCACAAAAGATGGAACTTGTGAGCTCGTGACTGGTGCTTCAGCAAACAAAGACATCTATTTCAAGCTGGCATGGACGTAATATCAGAACCCTGACAAAACTGTTTTGTTTTTTAGCATCTTAGGCCATTTAAACGTAAAAAAATACACTAAAGCATAGTAATTTCATGACAGTGTAATGAGCATAAAAGATTATTGACACCAATAATTTGATGCTGTACTTTGCACTTCCCTTCCGCAGTAATTTGAACGCAAAACAAAGCAAAGGAATTCAATAACAAAATAACAACGGAAAATTCAACAAACATAAAACACTCAAACAAAAAAACTTAGGACTCCTGCACATCAGCCCATCACTAAGTCAAACACAATAGACGTACCTCTGGCTTCTGTTGTGATGGGATCAGGGAAATCATGCATTTTGTCACTGTTTCTTACAAAATACCGACGCCTTACTTCATCTCATCCTGTCTAACCTGTTTGTAACAGAGAAACATTTGTGAGTTACAGTTTAGTTTGATGTCAACAAGCATACACAAATCAAATGAATAAAAATGCAAGTTGAAACCAACCAAAAATTAGCCTTATCATGCTTTTATCACAAGTGCTGCTGTCAACAAATAGGTGAGTTGAGATGATGTTCAACGTATGGGCTACCCTAAGTTAGGTGAAGTTGGTTAAGTGCATGACAAGTGGCAACAGAAATTGCGCAAAAATAAGTAACTCACAACTACTGCTGTGATGCAACCAGGTTAGACGGGGTGAGATCAAGAAAGGCCTCTTTCGGTTAGCCATAGTTATGCTACATTCATGGAAATAAGCATTGGTATTTTGTAAGAAACAGTGACAAAACGTATGTTTTCGCTGATCCCATCTTAACAGAAGCCAGAAGTATGTCTATTGTGTTTAACTTGGTGATAGCTGACGCGTAGTAGTCCTAGCTTTTTGTTTGTTTAAGGGTTTTATGTTTGTTGAATTTTCTGTTGTTATTTTGTTTTTGAATTCCTTCGCTTTGTTTTGTGTTAAAAGTGTTGTGGAAGGGAAATACAAAGTGCAGCATCAGATTATTGGTGTTAATAATCTTTTATGCTCATTACACTGTCATGAAATTACTATGCTTTGATGCATTCTGTTTCACTTTAATGGCCTGAAATGTTAAAAACAAAGCAGATTTGTCAGGTTTCTGATAATACGTCCGTGCCAACTTGAAATAGATGTCTTTATTTGCTGAATCATTAGTCACGAGCTCATAAGTTCCATCTTTTGTGAATTGATTCTTTCACTCCCGCACCGTCTTCTTGCAACGAAATTTTTCACTCCCACCCTAGTTCAAAAGCGATTCTAGCTCCCTGCTCTCCATCCCTCTGGTCCGAGCGGCGGCGGTGGACCCGGGCACTCGCCTCGGATCTCGCCAGTCGCGGGAGGGGGGGGGGGGGGCTGAGGGGGTTGCGTGACCGGAAAGCCGCCTGCTCTGTCTCCCGCCCGGGCCGGCCCAAGACCGGTTATGGCGCTGATGGTGAGACCGACTCTGGCTAGTCAACTTGCGGTTTAGAAATACCCCTTGCAGCCACCTTGCGGCTTAGAAATAAAAATGAAGTGAATGGACAGTGCATAGCTTTCCAGTGCCTCTGGGGATGGTGATGCGGATCGCGCGGTTCAGAGAAAGCTGTTGGGAGCAAGGCGTGCTTATTGATGATCTTTGCGAGCGTTGGTGGCGTGACAGAAACTTGTCTGTTTGCACCAGAGTTCTATGCACGTGTGGAAGCAATGACATTTCCACCCACATCAAATCCTGGGTAATGAACGTAAAATCCTTGCTATAGTAATGCTACACCAAAGCATTGGTATAGCAAGTCGAAGTTGTTCATCGTTTTTCCCATCCGACTCTGACCTACCAAAAACTGCGAGATGACCTGTGTGTACGTCTGGTGGGTTCCTCCAGACCTTTTGCCACCGCCGCCCACAGCCATCCCCCGGCGCGCTAAGCGGGCTCGCGCCTGAATTGGAATGGCTCAGGGTTGGCTCCATGCGATCAGTTCAAGACATGCAACTGTTCTTCCAGGATGTGCTATCTACACCGGTCGGGACACGAAACTAGCGCTCAATCTGAAGATTACCAGCAACAAGTTCTCGTCGGTCGAGAAGTAAGAATTGGCCTGGCGTCATCGGGCCGAACGGTTTGGAGTAGAGCTCCGCTGCCACGACAAATCTGGTTCATCAGAGTCAGCCAGGCGTGATATTTCGTGGCGGGCGAAACGTAACCAACTGACATTGCCTGCCAGCCGCAAGACACAAACAGGGATGTAGTTACGTGTTCAGTTAGTGGGGTTCCAGCCTCCCACGCCCCACTTAGTCTTACCCTCCAGCTTCGAGGGGAAGGGGTTCAGATCCGTGAAAAGACTAGGTTTAGAGCGAGATTGGAGGTGGTCTTTATCATTCCCGCCTGGCTGCACCCCGTTCCCAAAGGAATCGTGCAAAGCTATGCTGTTCTGCAAGATCATTGTAAAGGAAGACGAAAGACCACAAAGAGAAGAAGGCGAAAGGGTGCGTGCTCTTTCGTCCCAAAGGGCCTCTGTGCTTCCCAAGCTCCATGGATAGCTACCGCTGGCAGAGTGGAGCCGCACGCCTGTCCTGTGAATCTTGCTTATCCCTGACGCCGTCGGCAGGTCAATGAACAAGTTCCTGGTCTTCTTCCTGCTGTTGCTGTTGGGCGAGGTCACCGTGGCCACGCTGTTCTCCTACTTCTACCAGAAACGCGTAGCCACGCTGACCAGCCAGCCCGGCATGCTGGAGAGTGAGTGTGTGCGGGGATAGGGGGGGGGGGGGCTTACCCCGTTACGCCAGTAGCTTTCCCCCTCTCCTTCCTATCACCGCCATCGCTCTCACGTACGCTGTCTACACAGAATGGTGGTGCGAGCTTGCTCTGTACTTGTCTTGCCTCTATTACCGTTGTATTGTCACCACTGTCGTGGAGATAAGTCCGAGTAAAATCGTGCCAAAAATTTCCTTCCGCGCTGGGATTCTACCACCATTGTCAGTCGGTGGTCCAGGTAATAAGTATAAGCTTTTTGAAGTGCTTAATTCGTCCACTAAAACCTACCGTGAAGGCATGACTTCAATGGTCCTTAAGGCATAGTTGTTTGCCATGTTCTGTATGAAACTGAAAATATGAAGTCTTTTGATACACCAACTTAGTCTGTAACACCCAAAAATGACTTCAATGACGCTTTTGGCAATTCTGCACGCATTTGAATCAATGGTAAAACTAAACTTGCGAACAGCGTCGCGTCGAGCGGCGCCAGCACGTAAAAGCAGCGGCAGGATACGCCTCAACAATAGCCGCGTGCGTGTGCCGGGCTCGGGCCGGCCTCCGCGGGCCAGTCTTCCGGACGTCTGCCGGGCCGCCGGCCTGCAGGGGCCGCTCAATGAGCCCCACCGGCCCGGGTCGATGTGATTGCGTGCGTCGAATGTCACCCGGAACATATGAAGAGACCGAGCTGCCGCCGAGACATCGGCCGGTCGTTACGTGAGCGGGCGCGTGTGGCCCGCTTGATTGACCTGGCCGAGAGCGGGCCTGTCCCGCGGGGCACGGCTGGGGCGGTCAGAAGCGGCCTGCGGCGGTGCATCGGAACCACTACTGGCCGGCCCGGCCACACAGGGTAGCAATTACTTTGGGATAGGCTGGGCGACCGCCGGTGGGTTGATTCGCTTTTCTCCCAGCAACGCCGGAGCCTGTGTCGCTAGGCCCCGCTAAGGATCGAACTGTACGGCGTTGCCACCCGGCAGGCACATCCGGGAGTGGTAATGCCAAGAAGTTGTTAAATCGGCGCATCTGTCGTGATTTGCTCAGAGCGCAATAACAATCAACAATAAAAATATGCTGTGCCGCATATTGCATTGCATCATGCAATATAGCAGCCACCTCTTGGCGCCCAGCACGTGCTCAGGCGTATAAAGAGTCACTCATTGCCTACCTGCGCTTTATAACCTCCCGCAATGACAATTTCACCCGGCCTTAAACTCGGCTGTCCGACCCGGAACTGTCCTGGTGTCCGCGAGGCCGCGCGGCGACACTCGGCTGCCATCATCTTGCGGGCGGGATCAGGCTGACCCCGAGCCAGCATAGGGGTGGAGTGGGGCTGGGGAGGGGGGAGGGGGGGGGAGGGGCAATGGGCCGATTGATATGACGTCACGTGGGTTCACAAACGCACATCCACGTTGTCGGGTGGTGTCTGATGACAGCCCTCGCCAGGTCTGCCCTGGCGGCGGTGCAAGAGGTCAGGAGTCAAGTGGTGTCGGTGATATCTGTGACGGAGAATACGGGTACCGGTCCACTGGCGGTGACGGGGCGCGCCGTGTTATATGACTGATAGGAGGCGCGACTGACCTTTTCCTTATGAAAAACCTCGGTGAGCGGAATCCACTAAAAAATGCGTTGTTTCAAAGTCGTACGAAAAAGTTTCAACGAATGTTCGTGTGAAGTGCTTTTCACATTCTGGTTTGCCACCAGCTCCCAAACATTTTGATCTTATTTCCATGGACCTTGAGCGGTTGGAATTTACCTGAAAGCATATTGCGCGTTTTTTAATTTTCGTGACCTCCCCAGACCCCGTGAGGGCCTCAGAAGCCAGCTGAGCTTTTTTCTTGAATAACGTCCGAACGGTTGTGAGCACAATGTCTATGCTGTTAAGAAACGATGCTGAAATTATAGGCAGCTAAGTTAAATCATTTTAACACCTGTGAAAATTTGAACATTATCTAAATCTAGAATCTAAGACCTCCACCTAGGTCACGTCTGTCAATATTGACTCGTGTCCATCAGATAGTTTTCTAATGGCTATTCAACGTCTTTCGCCGCATCATCACAACATGTTAAGCTTTTCAGGTGACCGTAGGTTCTACAAATTGCGATTGATTGATTGATTGACGATCAGATTTGACCCGACTTGTCCATTGCGGTTTTCGCGAGACCCTAGCTTGCTTAATTTTGAGATTTGAGGTGAGTTCCCGACTCCCCATCGTGCGGTGAATTTGAAAAATAACCTTTTTCCGGCCATCCGGAAGAAAAAAGGAGGTCGAGGATAAAAGCAACGACTGGAGCGGTCGGAGACACACATATCTTCACTGCAACAGTAGCTCGGGCTTTATTTCTGGACCAGCAAGCGCCGCTTTTTATTTGCTCGTGGAATGTATCTTGTACGCCGTACCAGGAGTGTATGTCACATTTGACACCGCTAAGTTGCATATGGCTAATAGAAGGCACTCAATCACAGGCGTAATGAACAGAGAGTCGTAATCGCGTGTGGCTCCGGGGGCATGTACCACATCCCCTGTCTTCAAAATTATTACATGTATCAATATGCGTGCAAACTGATGTTAATTCAAAGCATTGCGGCATGAACACGTAAAAATGAGTACGTCGAGAACGCACTATGCTGTTTTACACCATGGACATGCTTTCGCTCGTCGGTGGCGCGCTGACCTTGGTTTTCAGCGACAGGTTTTGGTTGAGTCCCCCCGCCCCTGCTTTCGTCACGAAATCCTGCGGAAGCCTTTGATGAACCGCAGTCTGATAGGCCTTCCGCATGCCACATTTGCATAACATTTCATGCCGGATCCAAAGAAAGTGAGAGCCGTACTTCTCACATGCCGGTTATTTTTACATTCATGACGGAAGCGATCGCGACTGGCTGGTCCTTTTTGTCATGTGCGCGTTCCAAACACTTGCTATGTTTTTATACGTGACCATTTTTGGGTTTGCATGCGGCCATGGGCATAAAAATGTACATTCGGAGTCAATGCTCACGCGATAGGAAAACGCCAAACGGGAAGTAGGTCAATAGGTGAGTGTCTGGTACTCATAACAAGGGAAACTGGCATTTGCCTTGCAACGCCGCATGCTGCTCTAAACATGCATAGTTTGCGCACAGCCTCTGGAACGTTCGTGCAATCATGGAATGCGTAGTTATGTGTTGACAGTGTGAGAACTCATGTACTCCAAACGAAAGCCGCGTGGATCTTGACTTGGGTCATCTTCGTCGGTCAGGGCTGGGAGCACTTAAGGTTTATAAACTACGCAACTGAAATCCTCGCTGACCATCTTCCTTCGCTATTCTCCTCCGTCTTGCCTTGACATGCGCTCGGGTGAGGTGAGGGGGGGGGGGGGAATTTATCCTCCGAAGGTTTTTCCAGAATGGTTTCCGAACGGCGCGGCGTAGCCGCGCCAAATTTTGCAGAACTGTAGACAATTGAATAGTGGATCGTTTGGTGAAAAATTTATATGTACCTTGTAAGGTCGCTGACCTAAAGCAGATCAAAGTCAGGCCATTGTTTTAGCGAAGCCTATTTCTAGGGAATCGTTCAATCTGATGCAACAACGTAGTGTTGACAAAGCCATACATCTCTGAAATGCTTTCTTAGACAACACAACAATTGAATGAGCAAATTGCATTGAGCCAATGTCAGGTATAAAGGTCAGACCAAGGTCAAGATGAGCCTGTTTTAGTACTGTAGAACTTGCTGTATGGGATAGGTTTTGGTGCTCATTCCGAATTATTGATAGCAGGAGCCGCATTCTACATCTTTCATGAACTTCTTGGAGGTCAGAATAGGTCACTGATCTAAAATAACCCAGGTCAACACCTGTTTTTAGAAGCATGCTGCCTAGCGTAATATTTGTCGCTTATTTGAATGCAAAACTCAAGCAATCTTCTATCATTTTGGTCAGCATGATCCTCAAAAGGTCAAGCAAGGTCGCTGACCTTAAATGGGCATGTAACGTTTTGCTTAGAAACAGCTATCTAGGTTCTGGAGGCACTGTGGAGACCAACCTGGAATTTAACCTTGTTTGACCTTATTTGACTCGAATGTCAGGCCTAGGAAGATCAGCGTAGGAACCTCAAAAGAAGAAGATCAGCCTAGGAACCTCAAACTTTGACATAATCAGCGTAGGAACCTCAAAAGAAGAGGATCAGCCTAGGAACCTCAAACTTTGACATAAGTGGGTTCACGTGCAGTTCAACATATCCTGTGAATTTAGTGTCTCTAGCTCTCATAGTTCTTGAGATCTTAGGGGAGTCAAATTCGCCCCAACCCAGCGAAGGGTTTCCAGCCGGCCACACGGGCGCGTGTTAACCGGATTACGGCGATTGCCTGAACATGATTTCATTTATGCAAAATAGCGGGTGAAAGCCGAAGCTCCGAGCCTGCAGCGCTGGGCAGAAGGCACCGACAACAGCACCACCCCCGCCCGCTGCATCCCTCCCGTGTTCCCTTGCCACCCACACGCTTGGTGACTCGGAGCTGGCGTGTCCACGGGGCGGCGGCAGCCGGGCGCTGTCGTCGGCTTTATCTCGCCAGCACCCGGTGTATGGGCGCACCTGCGACGTTCACTGACTGGGGCCGCATCCGAACAACTACTCTCTCAGCGGCGGCGAGCAGCGCGCCCCGGACCCGCTCTCACACAGCAGCCGCGATGGGGGTCACAACAAGCCGCAAAGTCGACCTGGCTGTTTTGGCGAAGCGTCTTCCCGGGCTGGTCCGTTTCGGGTGCCCTGCGGCAGGCATGTTATGTCTGACGTGATGGGATTGGTCTGTTGGCTTTACTGATGTGGGGGCGTTTACGATATTGCCCGTGGCGACGTGTTTACCTGCCTCCGAAGGTTATTCCACCGCGGACGGGAATTCCCATCCCGCTAACCTGTCCGTCCTCGTTTGCGTTCGACCTGTGCAGACCGTTGTCAGCTCTGCACTGCCTGACAATTTCCCACCCAGCCGGCGCCGTGGACGCTCCACACCTGTGGTGTGCAGCTCCCAGGGTACGGGGCCGCGCCGCGCCGTCAGCGGCGCCGGTTTCCCCGCGGCCGGTCACGGCGCTGGCCCCGGGCAGCTCGGCAGTGTTGGCTGCGACCCTCGGTCGGACAGGCGCCCGGCGTTGGCACGACTTGTGGCCACTGCTCACACGTGCTGCGGTCACGCGACCGCCTCTTTCGACGCCGGGTGTCACGTGCTGGCCGCGGCGCCCGCGGGGTTGGGCTGGTCGGTGTTGGAGCTGGCAGAGCTGGACGGCGAGAGCGGACGGCTGCGGATGGTCAGCCGGTGTGCGCAATGTCCGCAGTCTATTTTCTTTGCCGGATGCTTGTTTACACTAATCGTGGTTCCGACCATACGAGCCAAAACTGCACCTGCCCGCTGCATTAACGTCCCTCCTAAACATCGGCGGCGCCAGTTTTTCGCTCGCTGCTTGGCGGTGATGCAGCCGATAACAAACAGCTTTGCAAACCTTCCGACAGCGCCTTGCGCTGGGATGCCGTGGGGCTCAGATCGAAGATCAGTTCGGAGACCGTGTATGTCAGTTCAGAGATCGTCCGGCTCGCTACCGCGAGGTGCCAGCCCGGCTATCGGCCAAGGGGTTTATCACGCCCCCCCCCCCTACGGAAATCAGCGCGATAAGTGTTGCCGCAAAGTGACCTGAGGTTTCTGGCGCCGGTGTTATGGTCCCCGTGTCCCCAAAGTCTGGCGTCCGGTGTTAAGGTCCACGTGCCTCCGAAGGCCAGCACGTGGACGCAACAGCGGTGATTATCCAGGCGCTGCCGCGGGGCCGTAAGGTCGGCGGGATCCCATTCTTGGACAATCGTGACTGGGTGGTGTTCCCAGCGACGCCAATGGAACGTGCTGCGCGGAATCAAGGTCGCGCTTTCGTAATTCGGTTGTGTAAACGGCTGCATAAAGTCACCGGTGCCTCTCGTGCACGCGACCGCACTCGTTTGGTGCCCTGTTTGGTACCCTGTTTGGTCATCTGGCTCTAGTTTTTGTGCTTTCCTTATGCTATGCATGCCGATAAAGTTCAGCAAGCAGTTGGAACAGTTTTATTGTGTTCGTCTTAACGTGTGGACTGTGGTATGTGTTCATACCGGACTATCAGTTGATGGTTCCATTGGCTTAGCTTCGCAAATTCAGTTGGGTGCGGGTGATGTGCTGAGCAGTAAAAAATAGCGAAGCCTACCTTCACAATGACGCCGAGAAACTAGTTTTGCCCCGGCTCTGGCCCACTTACTTCTCTAAGTTGGTGGGATGGAGCCCAGCTTAGGGGTGTGTGCACCCTGCAACTTAATAAGAAATACACCCCTAGTCGCTTTTAAACGCTGTGAGAATGCAATTGGTATGGCCATGGCAGTTTGGTATGCACTTCTGAGGAACGTGGACGTGTATACACAGAAGCAGACGCGCAGTGTGTCCTGATCTCGCCTTGACCTTGGGTGTTGATGTGGCACCGTGACACTGATGCAAGTCCTTGGGGCTGGTGTGGCCCCTGGACGCTGAAACTACGTGCCCCCGGGGCTTTGAAATGGCACCGGGACGCTGATATAAGTCCTTGGGGCTGATGTGACCCCTGGGCGCTGAAACCCCGTGCCCCTGGGGCACTGGATGGCGCCGGAACGCTGACATCGCCCCGAGGTGCTGACTCGGCCACCGAAGTCGCTGGCGCTCTATGAAACGGAATTAGACCAGGTGCATTGTCATCATTTAAACCCGTGTGCACGTTCATGGCCCATAAAAAATTAGCATGGCTTCAGCTTTCAACACGAATGCAGTGCAGCCGGGTGTACTTCACCAGGCATCGCACCCCCAGTGAGCCGCTGTACTGCATCAACAGTACCACCTTGTGCCGATTCCGCTGTCGCAAGCGAACGTCAACAGCAGCCTTAGCGATGGCGTTGCTGCTGGTGTGCGTTTTGTGACATTGGCTGTCTTTCCAGCCTCGCCGTGGTACCTGCCGGCTGAAGATTTCGCCCCAGTCAACACCATCTTCTCCTTCCTGGTCATCTTCAACTACATCATTCCGATATCGTTGTATGTTACTGTCGGTAAGTGTGGACGTGTCTTTGCCATGCGCCCTGTCCGCGCCCTTCGGGCTGCTCCGAGATGGGGCGAGGGGAGTGTATCTGACCTCTGAGAGAGGCTGGTTGGTGCGGAGCGTGGTACAGCTGCAAAGATCCTCATCAGGAAGATTCGCGTAATGAAACATTGAAAAGCGATTCACGTCCCAACGTAGCCGTTCAGGTCGATCAGTCAACCATCATGGTGCATCATCGTAAAAAGTGAGTTCAGGCTCCAACGCAACTGCTTTGATTGATCCGCGAACCAGTTACTTTCTAATTGGTAAACCATGCGTGTACATATCTAGTGCTTTCCCAACGTGCATTAGTCTTCCTTCACGACCTTTATCCTATTCAGCCGTATCATAATTTGTTGGGGCCTATACTTCAGCCATATCATAATTTGTTGGGGCCTATACTTCAGCCATATCATAATTTGTTGGGGCCTATACTTCAGCCATATCATAATTTGTTGGGGCCTATACTTCAGCCATATCATAATTTGTTGGGGCCTATACTTCAGCCGTATCATAATTTGTTGGGGCCTATACTTCTCTCTGTCGACTGCGACCCTTCCCAAGCCCTAGCGAATGTGTGGCGATGTGGGCTCGTGGACCGTGTGGTGATGCGACCTGGTCGACCGTTTGGCGATGTGACCTGGTCGAACGTGTGGTGATGTGACCCGGGACGACCGTGGGGTGATGTGAACTAGTCAACCGTGTGGTTCTATGACCCGGGACGACCGTGTGATGATGTGACCCGGGACGACCGTGTGGTGATGTGACCTAGTCGAACGTGTGGTGATACGACTCGGGACAACCGTGTGGTGCTATGACCCGGGACGACCGGGTGGTGATGTGAGCTCGTCGACCGTGTGGTGATGTGACCTCGTCGACCGTGTGGTTATATGACCGGGGACGAATGACCCTGTCGCGCGCCGCAGAGATGGTGAAGTTCGCTGGAACTCGCTTCCTGGTGTGGGACGAGCAGCTGGTGTTTGACGGAGCAGGACCCAAGGCAAACACGTCCGACCTCAACGAGGAACTGGGCCAGGTCAGTCAGGGCGCCGCTGCCACGGTTCGCCGCGCTCTTTGTCGGGGGGCATCTGTTCTGGTAGCTCCGCGGGGGCTTATCGTGCTTACACGGGTCTGATGCAGCATGAGATAGTTTGCTCGGCTGCGCCAGTCTCACCCTGAGTTGTGGCACTGGATGGACGTGCGTTCGCTTTTGTTTTGATCACGTGTGCTCATGGTGAATGCACAGGGCTGACATTTGACCATGTTTACAGGTTGAGTGGCAAGCGTGTGGCGTTACTGATCGATGCATATATTCATGAGATGGTTTGCTGGTGCACGAACGTGTTACAGATCATGCACAATACAAAGTGATAACCTGTTCTTTCCATTCATTCATTCCCCCTAACTGTCCTCGTGCCCGCGAGCCGAGCACCTGGTCTGCATCCACGGCTGACGCAGCTCCGTTCCGCGCAGATTGAATACCTCTTCTCGGACAAGACGGGCACCCTGACTGAGAACGACATGCAGTTCCAGCACTGCTCAGTGGCCGGCAGGAACTACAAGGAAGTGGACGGTGTGCTGCTGCCTCACAACCCCAGCGAGCGCGTCGTTACGGCCTCCGCCGCCGGCTCCACTAAACTGGAGCACCTGCAGGTCAGCACAGAGCCCCGAACGCTGACCGCTGAGGTTGCGACGTGCAGGGAGCTGAGAATGACGCTCAGCGCTGCATACGGTATGCCAGCACCGGAAGCCGGGCTGCTGGCCGCCTCCTGGAATAGAGAAACTCGGAAACAGGGTGTGGGGGTCTAGTGGTTTTTTTGGTGGAGTGTGTCAATTGCAGGCTGGAAACTAGTTGCTGGCAGTCATGATGTTTTTGGGCATGCATAGATACAACTGGCACGTGTGGTACGGTTCGTTTTGGCCCGTGAATGCCAAGTTGTAATGCCTCTCTCATCTTTGGCATATCGGTGCTTTCATCTGCGACCTAACCAATTATGATTTTCGACGACTATTGTGATGACTCTAATGCATTCGAACTTCTCCGAGATCTCCACGTCTCTCTCGGATCCGTAATCTTCACCCGTATTCCAACTTTGACTTTCAGCCCCCGTCCCTTGCTAGCTCGTAAATGCGCGAATGAGGATTATTTTCCGTTTGTTATCACGTGATCCTGCTCCCAACTCAGTATTGTCCAAATAGATGGCCTTCTGTGATCTCCTGGTGATGGTGTGATGCGTGGCGATGGTAACGCTGCACTTGCTTGATGCTTCATGTGAGGCTCTTCGTGATTTCACTCGTGACCCCGTGTAATCTTTAAGTAACGGTATGATTCCGTTGGCAAGTCGTGAGTTAAATGAGTAAGTTGGCAAGTGAGCAGTCTTACCACGCTGCCTAATTCTGCTGGTGACACATGAAGGTTGTAGTCTTGACTTAGTGTGACTCCGGACCACGCGACCCTATTGATGACTCGGACTGACACTGCACTGTAGGGGCTCCTTGGTGACTGCATGATTCCTGCGGACTGTGGCATTTCGTTGTTGAATCGGCTTAAGTCCGCGGTGTGCGACCAGGACCTTTGTCCCACCGGCGTTGGCTGCGTGATGTCAAATTGCATGATCCCCTCGGTGACTGCGTGATCCTGGTGGTGACTGTGCGATCCAGGTGGTGACCGCGTGATCCCGGTGGTGACTGTGTGATTCTGGTAGATACTGCGTAGTCCCACAGTGGTGGTGAGCTTCCTGTAGTGGCTTGTGATCCCGGTGGTGGTGGGCGACTGCGTGATACCGGCGTTGTCTTCGTGATCCCGGTGGTGTCTGTGTGGTCCCGGCGGTGACCGCGTGATCCCGGTGGTAACCCTGCGTTCTTCCGGCGATAACTCCGCGTGTTCCGGCAGCGGGCGGAGCTGGACGGCTTCCTGACGGCGCTGGCGCTCTGCCACACAGTTCAGGTGGCCGAGGGCAGCAGCGACGACCCTCTGCCCAGCTACCAGGCCAGCAGCCCGGACGAGAAGGCGCTGGTCGAAGCGTGCAGCAGGTCAGTACCACAGTGCAGCTCAGGTCTGGCCAACATTGTCGACAGCGGTCCTCTTCGTGTCAGGTCAGGTTTATAGGCCTGCAATAGGTGAATACCACGACTTTGGGCTAGATCGTACCCAGATGAAGTTATTGATTTCTTTACTTCTATGCGTGCTTTTTACCATCACTGACACACTATATCTCGTAGAAATAGGAATATGTGGCAGCTGAGACGAGAGAGTATGCCGTACTGTTTAGACAACGAAGACGTGTTTTCCGTGCATGAAGGCAAACCGCCCGATTAGCTGTATTTGCACGATATGGTTCGGACAGCAAGGTATCGGTGAGCTCTGCAGTCTGGAAGACCGATGCAACGAAGGATTTAGGATAGGCCGATGTGCTTATGGGCTCTTCTCAGTGGGACAATTGAGCATGCTTGTGCATCTGCTTCCTGTATGGCCCAGTCCAGTGACCTTCTTGCCTTTCGCTTTCTCCCAGGCCATGCCGTAAGTGAACGTACCACCACAATACATGGGATATAGACCGCGACATACAGGGCGTTGACCGGTTTCCTGGAAGGCTGGGTGGAGACCGATTGTGTCTGCATTGTTTTGTGATGACGTAATGCCCCTGCCTACGTTGTGCGCCCCGCGTGCTGTGATAGATCGCGAGGTTTTACCGGGACTTGTGCGGATAGTGTGAAGGTGTCTATGAAGACATCACATTTGCGGACTTAGTTTAGGTCGTATTGTTGCTGTCTGTCAAAATTTATGCACCTTGTTTTCTTCAATTAACTTCCAAACGTGCAACATCAGTGTCCTGTTCTGTTTAACATACACCGTCCGTGGATGTTTAAGAAGCAAGATGGTGCCGCCGAGCTGGCACCCGGCAGTAGTGGTGGCCGACCCTGCTATCACATGTCCGGAGAACAGCACCAGTGTGTGCTTTCTCGGCCCGACATTTGCCAGCGTATGGGGTTTGATCCCAATGGTCAACACGTACAATCTGGCAGTGGCTGGCGTATTTCATCACTCATGTTGACTGACTGGGACAGCCCGCGCCGCTATCTTTGCGATTAACTGCAATTGTGGACATACAACGGACAATCAGTGCCCGAACGATGGTATCGAAGGAAGAACAAGTCAAAGATCTATTCCAAAAGGCGGAACAAGGGGAGTGGTGCACATCCATCCGGGCTGCATCGAAGCTACAGAGAGGATATTGGGGTTATACCATACAGATGACCCTAGGAGCTAAGTACGGCAGCATCAAGCATCATGCGCCTGATTTTATAACAAAAACTCGGGAAAAAATTTTCGGTCGGAAGGCCTTCACAACGCAAACACATGACTTAGCTTTTGGGATTAGAGTCCTATAAAATTTAGTATGTTGGAATGCATTCAATCGACACCAATTTGGCGTATCCCAGCTTTTTATGGCAGCCATCAAGTCATTTGAGTTACACTTAACACGGGCTCGGGTGGGGGTCAAATTGACACCTCCCGAAGGTTTTCCAGAATGGTTTCCGAACGGCGCGGCGCAGCCGCGCTAAATTTTGCAGAGCTGTAGGCAATTGAATAACGGATCGTTTGGCATCAAAAATCTATATGTAACGTGTAAGGCGCTGACCTATGACAGGTCAAAGTTGGGCCATGGTTCCAGCGAAGGCAATTTCTAGGGAATCCTTCAATCTGATCCAACAACGAAGTGTTAGACGAAGCCATACATC